ATTCGGAAGTTCTTTGCGCTTTCTTGCCGGAAAAAGCTCAAAAGCGTCCAGAATCCTGCTAAAAATCGAAAAATCTTCCGTACAAAAGTGAAGCAACCGGACGGCTTGTCCAAGCGTGACGCTGTAATATTTTTGACACAGTAATTTGAGCTTTTCTCAAAAACTGTAACAGCTAGAAACTTTGTTCCTGCGCCATTCGACGGCGCTCGCCATACTCTACTTTTGGTATAAAAATGAAGATATGTGGTTAAAGACTCGAATTTTTAGAACCATTTTTCGGCGCGTGACGCTGTGACAAAAAAAGGCCCTAAAGTCGAAGTGCTTCTCATTAAAAGCTTATTTACTGCGAATTTAGAAGAGCTAACAAAAGCGCCTCGAACAAAATTTGTAGAGGAGTAAACGAGCTACTGATTGCTAAAAAAGAATCTTTCGAAAGAGCTTTCCGTTCCTCAATAATTGTGTTTTATCGTCGTGACGCTGTGACAGTCGTTTTTCCCAACAAAGTTTGGAACACCAGACATTGCTCAAAGGATTTCATTTTCACATCGAACTTAGTTTTAGGCATCTGATATAGACTAAGGTGAAAATAAAGCCGAAAAAATGTTTTCACTTTCTTAGAATTGTGTGCGAATCTTAAAACTTAAAACTTTATTAAAAACTTGTTTTGAATCTAAACTTCAGAAGAAACATACCATCTTGTAGAGAAGCGAATTCTCCATCGATTAGTATGACGCTGCTCGATGTGACTACATTCATCAATTGGAATCAAATGGCAACAAGTAAAAAAAGAGTCGTGGTAGAATAATAATACATTACATAAACGTGAATCACCCATAATCAACGAGAAACTCAGTAAGAACACAATAATTCTCTTCATGGTGGTACAACCTGAAATATAAAAGACAAAAAAGCGATAAAATCATACGTTTCATACGTTTTACAATGCGAAGAGAGCACGCCTAGAAAGAGAAAAATCAGCAATTGTTGCTCGTGTATAGGATTTTCCTAAGAAAGAAAGAAACAGATTAGAATAAAAATAGTAAATGAAAAACCTCTAGCAAATATGCATTTTGAAACCTTCCTAATTTTGGGTGACTTCTAATTTTTAGTAGTAGTTTTAGTTTTCAACTAGTGTTCGACAGTAATCGTAGAACCCAATAAACATATATAAGGGTTTTCCTTTTATTGAACATTATAAAATCCGCCAGCTGTTCCAGACGTGCCAATTATGAAGTTTCAGAACTTGTAGCTAGCTATTTTTGTAGCACTACATTTTTCGCTCTAACGCTAGAAAAGGAATGTTCATCTAGGGCTGTAAGAATCGATCAAAAATGTCGCATTTTTAGCAAAGATCCGATGAAAGATTTTAACATTTCTTTCAGGTTCCGCCGAGTCCACTGCATGACTGTGTGTGCGGATGGGACATATGCATGTTGTAGTTATCCAGTGCATACTTAAAAAAAATTCCTGGACGGCCTAGAAAAATCTCTAAACTTGGCCAGTTTACAGAGAACATCTTTGCTGGTAGGCCAATGCGATAAAACAAAATTTGTTTAAGTATTGACAGAGTTATTAATTAATTAATTTTAAATTTGAATGAAAATTTCTGTTGCTGGTCGCTCTTTTGAACAGCTTGTAGTTTGGTTAAAAGTACTCGCAGAAATGTCATTCTTGCGGAGTATGCGAGCCGATGGTGTATGACTTTGGTTTCATAAAAGACAATGTTAAATTTGTACGCCGTTAGATTGAAATTAATAAGTGTTAATTAGTGCTAATTAATATCACTCTACTACCTTACATTTTATAACTTTGACTGATAATAGCTAGAGGATTACAGTTTTCAATATTCGATGGCCGAGACCTGACCGCATCTTTTCGTGAGAATTTTCTCAAAAGTCTGTTTAAAGGAGATCTATGGAAAACCTGCGTTTTTGATTTTTCCCGAAAACAAACATTGCTACAAGATTCAGCGTGATCGACTACGTATGCTTCTTACAATTTCTACGTCTAGTCACCAAGCAGCAATCCAGGGGTTCAAGGAAATTGTATACCACGGCTGAACCACTAAAAACCCAGGTCTCGCTTGACACTCGTTTTGCGAAAGACAGTTTGAGCTATCTACCCACGTAAAAAAAATAATTTATTTATACTGCAATTTTCGCACTCATGGCTCAGTTTTCCATAGATCTTCTGGAAAACGGGTTCAGAAAACTTCTTTTTTCGAAAAGATGTGGTAAAGTCTTGGCCATCGAATGTTGGAAACTGTAAAAATGACATCTGTTCGAGTGTTATGGCGAGACTGTAGGACAACAAATGTGAGAAGCCTACGTCAATTCATAAAAAATATTTTTGGCACAAGGACAATGTACTGAATATCTCAGCTGTTAAGGTCGACAAGCTGTCTGGCTTTCAAAAATAACGTTTTGTTGTCTAGAAACGTGGCGAGTTCGTCTGTTTTGACATGCACTCACGATAATGGAGAGACTGTTATTTGTTCAGTTGTCTCTCATTAAACAACTTTGGTGTTAATGAGATTGACGAAAGAGAAGAGGTGAAAGCCGTTATTGTGTGTACACTGTTACTTGACGATGTCGCACTGAATGTATCATCTGATCCCGGATATTTTTTGGCCGTTGTTGTTTGGTCTGGTTCGGCAGCAGTCGTTCGACGAGTCGTTCGACGGTAATCGCATATGGACACAAGAAGGGTGAGTATAATCAACATAATCGATACACCAAGAATTACTAGTGGGTAGCAATACCATGGACATCCGACAGCCTTCTGTCTTGATTGATCGGATACTTCCTTGGCTGTTGTTGTAAAATCGAATTCATTATCATGAAATACGTCACTTGGATCGACTTCATGCTGGGGAGAAAGAAAATTTGCTAGTTCTGTTGAAATATTTAGAGGAACGGTGAACTTGTAACAATCAGGAAATTCAAAAGGAGAATAGAATGGATTGATGGTAGATAAACGAAATAATAGTAGGAAATTATTGAATCACTTTTGCCGTACACTCTAGTTTTAAGTCGGATAAAATATGTTAGAGACATACCTTTAGATAGTGAGGTGATTCGAAGTACATTCAAAGGATAGATTGATTGCCTATAATAATTGTTCAGAGGAGGTTGAATATCTAGGCATGATAATAGATGACACACACCAATATTTTGTTGTAAACATCTACAAATTGGATTATAGCATGGCGCCTTTAAGAGAGAATACTGCTAATAACGTAACTGCTTGACATCACTTCCAACCGTAGGTTATCAAGAAAACGTTCAAAAGGTAAACAATTGATAAAATGTTTGAGAATATAAATTAAATAATACCGTCGTACGCTAATAGTTTTACGTAATTTATTTATAAACAGTATTGACAGTGAATGCAAAAATTTTGTAGAAAGATCTTACTACGAATAACAATTACACACGCTAAACTCTTAATTGTCGCAATGGTTTCTAAAACTTATCAAAAGCTATGTAAAAAAAATAGCAAAGTTCAATGGTGCTTTCGTTAGTGTCGTTTGGAAGAAGCTTCTATTCACCATTGAATTATTTCTGACACGTTCAGTCAACACAAGAATATTCAAATATACAGCATCGTGCCAAATAGTATCATTAATTTTTAACTTCTAGTTATCGCCCATATCTTCTATACGATCGAAAAGCAACTAATGCCATTTTACGTTGTAAATATCGACAAACTATTCTCCTTTCATAAATTTTCAAAATTAGCATTTTGATTCTGCTATCTCTTGTAAGTCAGAAATAATTTGATTATGATTATCTATTTTCTGTCTGTTATCAAAATCTATGCCCGTGTTTGTTGATGCATGACTCCATGTTGACATTCTACGATCTGAATTATCTGCTATTACTCTTTTCAATTTTAAGCTTTCTCTCAAATCTGATAATTTTCTATGCAATGTTGGACGTATTCTACTTCGTCTGGGAGACGATAATTGTTGTTTATTTATCAATGATTGTGTTGATGGTCGTTGGTGCTTGGTTTTTAAATAATTATTAGATCTAAATTTGACGACAAAAGAACTTTATTAATCGTTAATGAATGAACATTACTCCAAGATACATACAACATAAATCGTTTATAGAAATTATCTTTCTCTTGAGTAACAATGTACGTTCCACAATTGAACTAAAATTGAAAGAAATTCATTGATAAAACAAATGAATGATTAGGAATATTACTCCTACACGAACAATATTTGTTGCAGCTAATTTCATTATTTCCATTGAATGTTCACTAAAATAGTCAGCAGTTGTTTGAATCAATAGTGCTATATATACCTAAAAGATTTAAATTTAAATTTCTACTAGACAGATGTTTGTTGAATCACTCTCTTCATTCACCATTCCAAAGTAGATCCAAATATAAACAAGAAGACGATAAAACGCCAGTTTTATTTCACTTTGAATATTATCACCAGCTATGTAGTCTCCGAACCCAATCTAAACGAGAAATGAATTTCAATTATAAGAAAGAAAATTACTTGATCTCCCACCGTGCTGAGTGTAACATAAACAAAATAGAATGCATCTAAATATGTCCACTGTTCAACATGACTAACTAATACCGCTAATACAAGAATGAGAGTGGTTCCAAATAATCCGTAGGTAAAAAACTAAAAGTATAAATTGAACAGATCATGGAAAGTATTTCTGGGTTTATAGAAAACGGCCCACTTTAACAACAAATTTCCATTTTCGATTTTCCTCATCAAATTTCTGTAAAAACGGAGACGAAAATCGATCCATATTGCGTTTGATACATTCGCCTAGCGCAGCAATAAAAACAAAATTTAATACAATGCCAACTGTTGCCACCAACATTGTCAGAATTTTTGCAAAACTCGTTTTTGGTATAATATGACCATATCCTATACAATGTTATTCGTGAAATAAATATTTAACAGAATGTGATCGTTATTTTTACTTACCAATGGTAGTAACCACAGTCATACTATAATAAACGCAATCAGACCAGGGCAATTCACCTTCTAAAATACAAAAATATCTTCATTATCTAGGTGATCAAAAATTGAAAATCTAGTAATAATTCAGCTAACGTGGATTCCTATTTACCAACTAAAAAACGTTTAAGCTGCAAAAAGTCTCTGGCTGGAAATTTTAGGACAGTTACTTTTAATATTTATTGTCCATACCTTGTGAATTTGAATTTATTCGATCGATCAGAGATCATGAGCATACACAAGTAGCAAAAAGCTAGTACAGGGCACTAAACAGGACCTTGCGGTATGACCATTCACACACACACACACACACACATAAAATAACAATAAAGAAACTACAACTACCTAGCGTATGATGAAGTATTTTTACAAGACTTCTGGAATTTTTTCGTTCAAGCAAATAGAATATTGTACCACATAAAAGTTGAAATGTCACTTGAGATATTGTCAACAGAAGAATGGATCGTTTTTGCATCGAAAGTGAAGAACGTCGATCGGCTCTAGTGGTGATGTTGTCATCTAATAATACAAATTATTTTCTAAATATAATAAAGCATTGTCTCTTGCATGTTTCTTTTTTCTCTTGTTTATAACTGTCAATAACGCTTTCTATCAATTATATACTTGTTACTAATATATTATGTGACAACAACACCGCCCTATTTTTCTAACTTGTTATTGTTTTTAAAAACTGATACCCGTATAGTTAAAAATTTTAATAATGTAAACTCCTCACAAATCGTCTTTGAAAAATTTTCTTCTGTAGTGCAAACGAATACAAGTTATCACAGTCGAAGTAAATTAGAGAATTGATAAAGGTCTTCTTTTGTAGACGATTACATCAGATAACAGTCTCAGCTGATAATACAAATGTATACAAAGCAAGGTTGACACTTATAGAAAAATAATCTCTATAAGAAGGAAGGCGTTTTATATAATAAAGCTGACAGTATATTCTCTCTATACGTATCACTGTATCACTAATTTTAGTTTTCTCTGTCCAACAAGTCTACAACAACACTCCGTCTTTTTAAAACACATTACTCACATCTCAAATCAGATATTTCATACATTCTACAGTGATATTCACCCTCAAAACCCAATCTGGACACCATATCGCATTCTTTCATGACATTTCAAGAGCATAAACTGGATTCGTGTCTCGTGACATAATTTGATTTCGTCACCTGCGTGGAATGCAGTATTTTGATCTTAGGTTAACGGGACTGAATTACCTCCCGCATCATACTCACTATCTTTGTCTTCATTACAAATTACACTAACGCAAATGTTGCCCATACAGACCTTTCAAAATCATCCGCTGAACAGACCAATCCGTTTACCACACGTAACTTTTGATGGAGTTTTCGATACACTCTTTCACCTCTTCTCTTTCGTCAATCTCATTAACACCAAAGTTGTTTAATGAGAGACAACTGAACAAATAACAGTCTCTCCATTATCGTGAGTGCATGTCAAAACAGACGAACTCGCCACGTTTCTAGACAACAAAACGTTATTTTTGAAAGCCAGACAGCTTGTCGACCTTAACAGCTGAGATATTCAGTACATTGTCCTTGTGCCAAAAATATTTTTTATGAATTGACGTAGGCTTCTCACATTTGTTGTCCTACAGTCTCGCCATAACACTCGAACAGATGTCATTTTTCCGATATAAATAGAATTTCCAAGAAAAATATTATATATATTTCTTTTCTATGACGTACTCGTCTATGACGTGCTAGTCCACTTGAATTCAATTTGAATATTTGCCACATGATAATGTCAATCCAGGCTTTCATTTCAAGTATTTAAATACACAAAGTTTGTGTTTAGTAAAAATAGAAAAGCGCTATTGACATCGACCGTGAACCAATATTTGTACGAAGCACCATGCCTGGTATGCATTCTTTCTTTTTAAGCTCTTTTATCCTCTAGAACGTTCACGTAGATCATGACAAATTATCAAGCGCATTTTAAATATTTTAGACCAACCATCAACGTTTGATCATCAACAGACTGATAGTAAGTAATGCTGAAAACAGTGGCGGATCCAGGATTCTACCGACAGAGTGGCGATTTCTAAACCATGTCGTCCGAGGTAGTATGAATATTCTTTCTAAGAAAGTCTGGTAGTGTACTTGGATTAGAATTTCATTTGCAAGGGACCCCATTGAAGGGGGCGGCGGTCGCCAGACCGCCGTAGTGCTAGATCCGCCACTGGCTGAAAATCCTACCCACACTACAGAGAATCAACTAGTAGAAAACTGAGTAGTACGTACGATGTCCACTCACTTTTCATGTCACAGCAATGACTTGTGTTTCGACTTTAAAGCCACTCAATGGTTTCAAACTAACAATTTCTTCATATATGTGTTTTAGTTATTGCGGAGTCGTGGACAAAGAAAAGTCAGGTAAGAAATCGGTGCACAAATTCTTATTCAGTTGCTTCAGCTACTCTCGACTACTATGGTTCCTGCGGTCACATCATTACCTCTCATCTTTTCAGTTGTAACAGATTATCTTGCATTTGATTTCACCGTTCAAATCATGGTTTATAGTGTTTCGTGTTTAGACCGATTCAAACACAACTACTACATCTAATTCCAATGGTGTAAATCAACCAGATCGATCTATGTGAACAGAAAATACGGAGTTGTGTGTTGTGCAACATCAAGATTATAGTGTGTAGCTTTAGCAATGTATTGACTTATTCACTAATAAAAGTTCGACTTACTGTCTGTGTGTGTTTATAATGGCTAATCTATGCAAGTAGACGTGAATCTCAAGATGGATAATGGAAGTATCATAGGAATTCGGACTACCCATTTCTGTTCTAGTGGCTAAATAGTGGAAGATTTTCGCTTTAAAGAACTGACTGCTCGATCTCAAATGACGAAATGAAATGAGATAACTGTGAAATTAGATTCGCTCTAAGACGATCGAAACATCGAGTTATGCGTTGTGTGAAACTTCATAGTTACAGGTAAAGAGAAAATCAGACTTCTTTGACTATTGTTGATGCAGAATTTAATTTTTCGGTCATTAACGAGAAATATCGACGATCAGTTTTGCCACCCACTGATGATATGGAAAGAGCTAATCATAGTTCATCGATCGTTCTTAACAGATCTTTGAATTAGAATTAATTTTTTACTTTCAAATTGATTGTACAAATATTCGTTCACGGTCGGTCAGACGATGTGTCAATAGCGCTTTTCTATTTTGACTGAACACAAACTTTCTCGTTCGACTAGCTTTCTGGCTTTCAAGAATAACGTTTTGTTGTCTAGAAACGTGACGAGTTCGTCTGTTTTGATATGCACTTACAATAATGAAGAGACTGTTAGTAGTTCAGTTGTCTCTCATTAAACAACTTTGGTGTTAATGAGATTGACGAAAGAGAAGAGGTGAAAGAATGTATCGAAAATACCATCAAAAGTTGCTTTTGATTAACTGATTGATCTGTTCAGCGTTTGAACGTAAAGCTGTTGCAGTTCGAATTAAACGTAATATGAAAACAGTATGTTATAGTGGAAAAACAGTGAATAGAAACGAAAGATCTATATGATACCCTCGAGTCTTGTATCGTCATGGCAGCAATATTTCTAAACTGCATGAGCTGGAGATGGTTTAAACAGGTGATTTGGTTTGCGTACATCCAAATAAAAACTATGAGTTTAGCACACATTTGTTCAACATACGAGACGAACTGAGTTGATAACATTCGAATCCAGTGGATTCCTCATTTTAAACACGTGGAAAATATAGCACAGAATGACATACGAGGGCGACTGTAGACTTTACGTCTATTTACAAGAGTTTCTCTACTTTACTGGACTCCTTTTGATGTTAACATGACATTTTCTTGCTCGTTGCTACACGGTTTTGCGCAAATTTTCAATGTGTTGACTTTTGTTCATTAATACAAGCAAATGGTTACGGATAAACTGTGCATGAAATTTTTCAGCACGGTGATTGTTCAGCACTAGGAAGAAGTGGGCTTAAATATTGTGGGGAGTTTTTGGAGTTCATAAAAAATTATAATGAAATGTTAGATACAGGTGAGTCGAGTTTTGATAAAATGTCTGGATCAGGTGTAGAGAGATGATGCTGGATAAGCGCATCCAGTTCGACGATGATAAACTTGAGACACATTGTTTGTTCTCATGGATGATCGACTCGTTCTGTTATACACATTTTAAAAATTAATATCAGGTATTCTTGTCTGATTTGGTAGTATATGCCCTGAAACACGTATAATTGAAGTTGAAAACCAAAGTTGAGCAAAATTCGCTATTGTGTAATTAAATGTTGGTACGTTATAGCATTTTTCCTACGTAATAAAGTATGCGGCACAGGTACCGCATAACACCAATATACCGCATGAATAATATATAATTGATAAAACATTAATCCAGGAGCAACTTTAAATGTATTACGGTGGACTCTGGCACAGCATTGGTAAGCGCCGTTTTGTATTATCACGCGATGCAAAACGAGCGATTGATGGATTAGACATATCTGTGAGCTATAACATCTGTTGTTTCTCGGATATCCAGTGCACGATAAGCAATTTGTTCATCGAATTTTCGAAGTTCAGGAGTCGTATCATCAATTGTGTACGTATGCTGCATTGCTAATTTTAAATATTATTCGTAGTCACACATGTATTAAGACGAGAATGATATTTGTAAAATAAATAATTTTGACAATAACGGCAGTACGTCTTTTTATCTATTTATCGGCCGTTTATTTATGAACAACCGTTAAGCTCTAAACGTGGTTTTCACTTTGCTATACCGTTATTTGAGATTATTACCGTGTTGAACAGCTAGTAGTACTAAAGAGCAAAGGTATGCTTCATTTATATATATCACTGTCACACAGTATTATCGGAAATGATCCGCTTGTGATCCTCTTATTAGATAGTTAACTGGGTCCTAAGATTTATGTGTCAATTTATAAATAAGGTCATAGTTGTAGATATGATTCAGATATAACGTTCATGCACAAATTATAAACAACCATTTGCTCTATATTGATTGTCATTTCATACTTTTGTTCCAAAATTGTGAAACACCAGTAGTGTTCTAATCTTTTTCGTGTTGAAGTTTTGGTGCTGAAATTTCCGGTGCGAAACTTTCATCTCTCCCACGTCTGATAGAGCTTTATTCCAAAAGAGGAATAAGATTAAAACGGTGTTTTCCATATAGGTGACTAAATAATAATAAGCTGAATACATAACAACAGAACAGGCTGAAATTGCATACTAAATGCATGATGAACTTTTGAAATAAGTGGCTTTAGTAATAACATAACATCAAAAGCCATTTTAAGGAATGTTTCTGACGAGAGACTTTAGAAATATTTTGATTTTTAGAACAATATCAAAAATCAGCAAATAATGAATGATGTTCAATTGACTATTTCGCTTAAAATAACCTTGTGATCAACGTAGATTTAACCGCACTACTGTTGAAACATGTTCTTCTTGTAAGTTTGTTATTCGAAATCGATGTTCTTGAAGAGTTTCCGATGGGTTTCGCCTTCTTACTTCATTTAAATTTAATTACTTCTGATGTTGATGAATAGTATCGTAGTTTTAGTGTGCTATTTTTCATTTTAAGGGTAACCTGAATGTACTTAGTGATATTATTTTTAATATTCATACATATTAGAAACGATTAAAAGTGAATTTTTGCATTTACAGTATGTCAATCGAAACATGAAATAATGGCTATGCTTTGTTTCTAAATTCTGTTACGCAGGTAAAAAGAATATTTTTTAGTAGCAATATTACTAACTGTCACTCGTTCGTTAACCTCATAAGCCACAAACATCGTGTAATAAAATTCTCAATTATTGTTTTTTAATAGAGTATATAGAACAGAACAAATATTTCCTGTTTTTATAAAGAATAATATTAGTCGGTTTTTTGAAATTCGAGAGAAAATTTCCTTTTACCATATTATATGTAATATTGTATCAAAAGAAAGAAAAAGAAATGGGAAAAGAAATTGAATAAAAAAATAATGATTAATAAAATTAGTTGACAGAGAGAATACTTGCACTTTTTTTTAAAAAACCAATCCACCTTCGTAGTTCTCTCTTGTTTTCTCTCTATAATAAAGTGTAATATAATTTACGTCATCATTCTTTGTCCTTTTCTTCATGATGTTGTATGTTAAAAGCAGTTCTTTCTTTTTAAAAGAGAAGGAAGAAGTGTATACCATTTGTTCTTGTTTTCGAACAGTGATTATCAACACCGTCAAGTGAACATCGTGGCTTGTTGCAGTTTTTGAATAAAATTAAAACTTAAAAGGTAAATTGTTTTTCTTTTTCCTTTTATTGTTTTTTTTTTTTTTTTGCATAAAACTTATTATAATATATTGTAAGTTAGCATGTTAACATAGACAGTTCATAGACTAAAAAGAAAATCTCTCTTTCTTCTGTGAGTAATTAATTATTATTAAAAATCAATTTTTAATTGGGAAAAGACAACATCGACAGTGTATAAATATCAGTACTGAATCCCATTTTTAGCAAAACTTCAGTTCTAATCTCTATGTAAGACCATATTCAAGCGCTCTAGTCTACTGATTTGAAAAAAGTGATGTAAAAAAATAAAAAACCAAAGAATGGGTGGTAAAGTCTCTATGTTAGTGTTGAAATGACTTTAAATTTTTTATGTGTTTTCCATTGTTACATTGACAAGAAAAAGAGGAAAAATTATAGAAGAAAGATGTTTATCAAAAACGCACAAATAATTAGTTCTATATCAACATATAAAAACGAGAAAATGTTTTTTTTTTACCTATTTTAGAATAAAGTAGACTTTGCGTGCGTATAACGTTTTTCAATTTAATTATTGTTTTTCTTTTCGGATTCAAATATTTCCCTTGTTTTAAAGAATACCTGGTAGAAAATTAAAAAATATCAAAGAAATATGTGTAAGAACGACAAAGAATCAGCAATTGATAAAAAAAGGTGGTATAGAAAACATGATCCATGTAATAGCTTATTTTTTTTTGATTTTGGATCGTGATTTTAAGAACAATTTTATCGAGCTCTTGTCGAAGACTAACACATCAAGAAAAAAATCATATTCTCATTTTCATCTCATTCAGCTCTTTTTGATAAGAGAGTAGTCAATCCCTTATCAATTTTCTAAAAATTATTTTTAGTCTGTTGTTAGTACTTAAAAATAAGAAAATATATACATATGGCAAACTTTTATTAATAATTTTTAAATTATTCTCTTTATTTATAAATGTTAGTAATAGACTAACTATTTTGAACTGCATATCTTCATCAACTAGAAAAATGTATCTAAAAAGCTTTTTAACAAATTGAGTAAATATTTACTGTTATTTATGCATCATCTAATATGTCAATTTTAGACTTTTTAAATGAAAATAATCACTTTTATTATTCGTTTAGTTTTTTAATCTGTTTGGTTGTGTCTCGTGCGGTATGCATAATGCATTACTCTAGTTGTTATTCTGAACAAAACTATAGAGACTTGAGAATAAATGCAAAAGAGAAAAATAAGTAAATGAAACCAATCTTTTCACCTGGATTTTAGTGGTATAAAAAATATTTATATATATACAAAGAAAAAGAAAAATTAAATCAAGTGTATTATCGTTTACTTATTTGTGGAAAAGTATGTAAATAAACTTTAATACTCAGCTGTTCATCTGCGGTTTAACTTTTTATATCGGAAATATGGCTCATTTAATCGTTAAAAAAAATCAGACACTAACAAACACCGTTTGTTTCTAATTCGAGTTTTCCTCCTGATCAGAAATTTATCTCAGTAATCAAAAACCAATCTGAACGAAAACTTTAGAGAATACGGCGTGCATGATTGAAATAGTTTCAATAAAAATTTTTGATACTTCATCTCAGTAAATAAATCAAAACGAGATTATTCAAAATTGAAGAGATTCTCAGCCAGTTTGAGTGATGGAGAGCTCATCTCAGTCTCAAATTAAAACCAAGATATTCTTCCACAGTGTAACAGAGTCCAATTATAAATATTACTTTTTCGAATAACAGAAGGCTTAAAAAGTCAAAAAAATAGAGTTCAATATTTTCAAAACATATATATAACGGAAAAATCAGAACAGAATTTAGAAATATGAAACGCTATGAAGATTAAAGTTGTTTTGGATAAAAACGCAAACTATTTTAGTTATAGTCATTTTTTTCTAAGAATGTCATAAAAACTTGTTTATTCTTTTCTACAGATTTTTGACCACAGGGAGTCTGATGCAAGCACACGTGCACTCACATATGTGTTTATCTGCATAAACATTTTTTCCTAAGCACTTTTCTGAATAATGTAATTGTCGTTCTACGGAACATGCTGAAAAATCTCTAAAAACATGTTTTTGGAGATAAAACCTTTAGTAAATAAGGAACTTTGGCCTATCTCATCATGTCTTTTCAAAAAACCGATATTTTTCAATAAAAATGGTCATTTCCGTCGTAGGAGGACTACTTCAAAAGCGAAGAATTGTTTTATTATTTTAAAAATTCTTTTTTTTTAAGAACTCTTTTATTCGAATGTCTTTTGTTAGTTCTCTATGGCAGAATGGTCGATGATCTTTCGGTTCCCTGCACGGGTTTCATTACATTTTCTATAGAATATTTAGAATGAAAGATGGAAGATATATTTCAAAAAACATTTCTATAGAAGTTTTTGTACCTAACTTATTCATAGAAAAACAAGGAAGTACAAATTACAAAGCATGCGCTCACCACCTGCATTACTCTCTAGATAAAAAATAGAAATCCTTTGATAATTTCCAGATTGATTAGTGTATATAACTCATTTCCTTGACAACTTTTTTTTTCTCTTCTCTCTGTTAGTTAAGAAGCAAAAAGAGTTTAGTTGAAAACTACAATGTTTTGTTCTTCGTTAAATAACAGATTTATTAAAGAATAATGTAAAATTGTGAACAGATGCACAAAAAATGCATTTTTACTATTGATTTTAAATTTTATATAATCATCAAAGTTCCAGGTAATACTTGTTAAATGCGCTTTGTCTAAGATTATGTTTCAACCACTCAAATTAATTTGATTAGGTTATGTTGTAAGAAGAAAAGTTTTTTTTCTTTTTTACTTTAATTTCATTTTTTAATATTTTATGAGACTTTTCCTATTTTATAAAAGAAAAATGTGCATTCATTCATTACCCACAGTTGTCTACTAATGTCAAAATAGAATTTACACATTTTTTTGCTTGAAAAAAAACACAAATTATAACTCAGACAATATCTCCATCGTGATTTATCATAGTACGGTAATCGTTATTAAATTTAGAATGTCTAGTCTCATAAAAATGTTTGACCACATTGAGAAAACAACAAAAAAAAAAAAACAAAGAGAAGAAATTCTATTATTTATGTCTAGAAAATAAAACGACATAACTATATTATTATTAATCGCACGTCACCACGTCTATATAGATTCATTTAAAATAGTCTATTAATTTTTTTGTACTTAAAAAAGTAGACATTATAAAACAGAAATAAAAAAAAATAGAGAGAGAGAGAGAGAGAGAGAGAAAAGAAACTCAAGGTAGCAACAAGAAGAAACACATTTTCTAGCTATACTCAAAGTACGCTGCTATACTGTAGAGAGCAACAAAATAGTAGACAGTGATATTAAATTTGTATTTTAAGAAGAAAAATTAAATCAGAAAAGACGTCTTTTATGTTCTATACCGTCTCTTATGTATAGAAGAAAAATTGATGTCATTGATTTTAAACGATCTATATATTTGATTTAAAAATTGTTCATTTTTGAAATTTTTTCATTTTTAGACAAAATATTAAAAATAAAAAGGTAATAAAAATTATTATATCAGAAGTGTAAAAGCTTTATAAAAGTGTACAAAAAATTACTTTTACAATTCTGATCATTTTTGAATATAAATTATGACAAACAAAGTAACAATCCTCATTCTTACTTTTAAATAAATATAGAGAAAAAATAAAATTAACAAAACACACAATGATATTTTTTATTTTAGTGCTATTAATCAATATTTTCTTTTGTATTAGACATTTTAGTAGTAACTATCAGATATTTGGTATTTTATTAATTCTATTTTATTAACAAGTATTATTTATGTAATGGAAATTGATTTATTTTTTTCTTCTTTTTTTGTTTTTTTGAATTACTGAATTTTTTCACGCTCAGAATATAAAATCATACACGAGTCGATACTCGGCATGATCTAAAATAAGAGTGTGAGTCAAAAAAAAAACTAAAACCTACTTTTCACGAAATAATTTTTTCTTCTTTTTTACTTCTCTCTTCAAAGTTGAGTATCTTTGTCAGTGCTTTATTTACACGTGATTGAGTTAAACATCTAGTGTTGTTGACGTAGGAAGTGCATTCGATAGAAATCTCTTGTAGTAACACATTATTCTTAAATATTTGTGACTAGAAAATTTACTCGGCATTGCCCGGGTTGGTTACCCGGGTACCCCTGTGAGTGGAGATTTTGGAGTCACACATAGCCTACGGTCTTCCTCTTGATGAATGTGGACCCCATGCAAAATTTGGTTGCTCTGGGATGAAGCATGTGGATTTGTATAGCTGAACAAACAGACAAACAAACACTTTAAATTATAGTATAGAAGAATAGTCTAAATTTTTCTACTACTCTAAAAAAAAATTTTCTCACACATTTTAGAAATATTTGTTAATATAAAGAAAATTCTTTCTTTTAATAGCTATCCTAGACCGGGAAAATCTGACCGGAATCAGTTCTAATATTTTTGAAATTGTCACGTGTCAACAAAATTCAACTGTGATTTAGAGCGAGCTGATTAGCCTCTGAATCAGGACATATATTTTAATGAGGTCTGATAAAATTGCATAGCTAAATTAGTTTATTAGATCGAGCTAATTGTCGACTAGAACAAGTATATGTTAGAACTGAGGAGAGAAAAAAAACAGAATTGTTTTACATTTAAATGTTTCTTGCAGCATTAAAAATTAAACACGTTTATTGAAATTTAATCATTAGTGTAGTGTAAACACGATATCTTCTGAAAAAATACTTATTTCCATATTTTATAGTCATTTTTAGATAGCCAAAGACATGACTCAATGGGAAGCAGTTGAAGAACAATTATTGTCAAGTCAAATTGATGATTATGTTAATCGTGCTGAACGATCTCGATTATCATATAATCAACAAACGGATGAATTTCGTCAATTAAATCATGATTTTCAAGCCTATTTAGGCGATATACGTACAATTGATGATGAAAATCAAGAAAAAACAGCTAAAATTGAACATCTAAGAAATGAATATATTTCTACTATTGAAAATTTATTAAGAAAATTACCTGGTGATTTTCATGTTAATTCAACTATACTAAATGATGCTGTACTCGATCGTTATCGACTTAAATCAAAAGTAAAACGTTTACAAATGGAAAAAGATGAATTCAAAAAACGTATTGGATTTTTAGTACAAAATGATAAAGATCAACAAAAAATGTTAACAAATTTAGTAAAACAAGAACGTTTTGTTAAACAAGAATTTTCAAAATTAAATGAACAAATGAAAAGTATAATGATGTATGTTGAAAATGAAAAACAACAAAATAGACAAGCTATGGAGAAAGTAGACAGTTTATTAGTTCAATTAGAAAAATCATCCATTGATAAAGCTAAAACACAAGTATGTTTCATAATAATACACTGTCAAACTGCCATTCAATTTTTTCATTTTCATTTTCTCTTCTACTATCTAACTTAAATTGAGCAAAAAAGAGATCAAAAGCGTTTTTTGAAGTTTATCTTTTTACGTTTTTTTTTAGTATGAAATTCAAACATTAAAAGAAGAAATAAAATTAATGCAAACTGCTAAAGAATTTTTAAGTGAAGAACGTGAAACTATAATCGGTGTTCAAGCTGAAGCAAATGAATTTATGTTATCAAGATTAAATGATTCTATATTACGTATTCGAGACGATTTTAGTATATTAAATCAATCACAATTAAAACAATCGGAAAATGAATATAAACAAATGTTACAAGTTGTTGAAGAGAGTATAAATGCCAATATTGATGATGATAGTAATGATATTTTAATGAGTCAACGTCGTCAATCAGAATTAGAAGAATTACATCAAGAAACATCACAAGCTCAACAAGAATTATTAACATTAAATAATTATAATCAAGCATTATCAGATAGAGTTAATCAAATGGAAATGGATTTATTAACAGTACAAGATGAACATTTAAAATCTTTACAAGAAAAAGATTTAGAAGTTGAACGAAATAAAAATGAATTACAACAATTATATGAAAAATTAAATAATTTAGCTGAATATGATAAAAATTTAAAATTTGAATTAACATTGTATCGTGGTGTATTAGAAAGTGAATATCGTCGAAGACAACAACCATCAAAACAACAAACAACAAGAACACGAGTATCATTTGGTACAAATGATAATAATAATAATAATACGACAAATGAATCAACACCACCATTATTACGACCAACATCGATTAGTTCAAAGAGTACAACAGTACCAGTTACTATTGGAAGTGGATCAAGTCGTTTGACAAAAATAACAGATCAATTATCAACAACAGAATCGCCAACAGGTCAGTAAAAAGGCTTATAATGTATATCTTAACTTTTAATTTGGTTGACTAATCAGAATACGAGCAAAAGAAGGTTATTTTTACTTGGACAAAAAAAAAAAACAGTTTTAAAATTTTACACATACATTTTAACAACTTTGTTTTTGAATATAGAACTATAGGTGTCTAATCATACTTCAAAATTAAAATTTCAATTAGGAGAGTTCATATCAATATCTGGATCATTGTCTCATACTAAAATTTCTCTCTATTAATTCTATATACATTAGTTTGTTTAGTAAGTTTTGTTTAATCCCATAATTTATAAACTGTTTTCTAACAATAACAATAACTTTCTTCTCACTTTATGATCAAAGTTAGATTTCATACAACCAGGGCTGGTGCGAGGCTTCTAAGATTGTGAGGGAGGGGAGTCGATATATTTTTTGTTGTGATCGCGTAGTGAAAGTGTTTTTTGTGTAGCGTAGTAAATTATGAATTTTGTGAAAAAAGAAACGATTATTGGGCGAGGGTGGGAGAGAGGAGGGGATTGTTCCCATGATCCCCTCCCGCTCGAACTAGGCCAGTATATAACATAAGAACATGTACAATGTCGGGCAATAATAAATGAATGTTGCACTTCATTTTGTCTTAACATTATACAAATCACAAATTTTCATATTTGTCTTTTAAATATTATATTCATCTATTATAAAATGGAGAGTAAATGAAAACGTTTTAAATATTGTTATATCTGATTAAATTTGAAGGTTACATATCAATGCAAAAGTAAAAATGACAATTTTGTTATTTTTTTATTTTTGTATTAAAAGGGATTAATCCGAAAGGAAAAGGGAAGGTTGTGATTTAATAATCATCTAATTTTTGACATAGATATTCGTATTTTAAAAATAAAATAATTAGAATTATATTAGTAATTAATAGTAGAGAAATGTAACTAGTTTAGGATTCTCATTTGACAATATTATTTTTGGTAACAGCTGCGTTTAAGTATCTTGAAATGATATTTTTTTATTCAAAACTACGATAATATTTGTAGTAAAATTCACGAACCATAGTTATTAAAATCCTGCTTATTTTTTACCTATATGCACACCTTCTACTATTTGTAACAGTTTTTACAACAAAACAAGATAAATATCGTCATTAAATCTTATTTTATCGTTTTTATCAACAGATTGTATTAGTAACCAAATTAAATATTTACTAGTTCACTTAATTCTTCATCTATTAAATGTATATAAGCAGAATACATCATGAAATAAACCTGTTTTAATACGATTATACACTGACGTCTTTTCAAAAAAACAACAACTTTGTTTTGTTAAATTTAGCTGTTTTGACTACAAATTTGTCGTCATGAAAATATACCGCACGCCTTTGAAGTTTACATTTCTCGTCTTCTCCTTCCCTAGGAATAATAAATTTGAACGAATTTTCCAAATAACTTCAGACGTGACAATAAAATAGGTAGCAAACCATAGTGATCTGATACAAACATTAGAAAGGACAGTGAACGATTTTTGTGGAAATAATGACTAAAAATAACTACAAATTCTTTTGTTATTTACTTTTCAACATTTTTGAGCTTCAAAAGTTAATTTTGAATTAGAAGTAGCCGTATTACTGTTACTCATATATTACATTACTGAGGAAAGTAATAGTGAAGAGTATTCCTGACCTCAGTAACAGTAATATTCCATGTATTTCTATTACGAATCATAGTAATATGCGATAAATCAGTATTCATTTTCAATAAAGTAATTCTAAAAAAAAACATTTTTTAAAAAATTATTGAGCACCTTTTTTGGCGTATTCCTTCAGTGAAAAATGGATCTAACAGAAAATTTCATTTTTACAAAATTATACAAGTCAAGGTCGCAATTTACAATGTTTGTTACCGGAGCAAAGTTCAATAATCGACTGAAAACCTATATTAGTTCATATATCGGCCATTTATTCTGCATCAGCCATTACTTTCAATATTACTTTTATTCCAAAACAACTACTTACTGTAGCATCTTCTCCAGCCTAATCGGCCCGCAGGTCG